CATAAAGATATGTTTCTTTTTGTCTAAGGTGTGGCAACATCTTCTGCTCCATGCACCGCTACTCAGAGACCCACGACTGCACCTACGACTACAAAAGCGCAGGTCGGCGCTTTCTACAGGAGACCAACCCCATCATAAGTGCACCAAAGCTGCCCAAAATATAAAGGCACTGCTCGGGTGAGAGAAAAAGAGACATGATAACCATCAACTATTAAAAGAGTGAAAATCCTTGATCACCAATCTGTGCTTTTATCACCACGTTTTCTTAAAAATATAGTAGTTTAATAAACATTAAAGGGAAAAACAGTGCTCACTTATTAGCCGTTGCCTTGGAAAAAACACCTATGTTTGCTGTCTGTAAATTACTTCATACTTCACAAAAATCTTCTAAACCCTGCATGTAAATAGTTTTTAAAAAACATTTCTACAAACTTTTAAAAATAATAAGACACAAAAAATACAAAATACACAACTATGTATATCTATTTGCATATGTTTTACTGTGTTTTTTTTTTTTAAATAGAACCAACAATCACTTTTCATGACAAGTCTTGCAGAGATGCACTTTAGTAATGAAAATATCTCTTGTGGAGATTAGGTTCTGTATTGGGGTTGGGGGGTGTTGCTTGAACTATGTGCCGTTTGTTTTTTGTAAGTTTCCTACTAGAACTTTCTTATATTTCTGACACATTACTCCTCTGTCCAGTAGCACTCTACCGAACACTGCTTATCATGGAAAATGCCAAGCACTGCATACTCGTGTTATAAAAAGACTGTTTAACCTCTTTGAATATGAAATATATATAGGCCCAATAAGCCGTACACACTACACTATGCAGTTTAACCATGTAGCATTCTAAACCAACTGTGTAAGGGCTTGGCATGATAAGATTTGAACAATTGATTGGTTGCCATGACGATGATCCTTTTTGAACCTTAGTATAAGAAAGCTGCTCAGAAGGCAGATGTTGTTATTTGCATTTTTCTGTAATTGTCAGTTGATGAGCCTAATAAAATATCCTTGTGTTTCCTTCTTTACTGTATTGAGTTCTGCTGTGTTTTTATCTACTGTATCTTTCACGCCTTAACGGTGCATTGAGGTGTTTGTTTTTGTTGCATTTGCTTCATAACCGCACTGTTGTTTGGGATTCCATGTACTAGAATTAATATAATACAATTATAGTAGTACTATATTATATTATGGTACTATTACTTTGACTTACAGTATGAACCCATTTAGATGAGTACAGTTTCTTGAGTAGCTAAACCACTTCTGAACTACTTAAAGCTGTCCTGTTATGATTTTTTACATTTTCAATTTTTAGAGTGTAAAGTGGCTGTTTGAGCATGAAAAAGATCTGTAAAGTTACAAAGCATAAAGTCCACTCTAAAAGGAGTTATTCTCTATGTTAGTGCACACTGTTTCTGAACTCCCTGAAACGCCTCGATTGTAGTCTTGAGTTTTCATGTGGAATGTACACGCCACAGTATGCCTAATTTAAATAATTCACGCCCAAAGGCCTGGTTGAGTTGCGATTAGGGGTGTGACATTTCTGAAACGCTTGAAGCAGTTGACCAATCACAACACACTGGTCCTGCTGACCAATCAGAGCACATTGTGATTTCAGAAGGAGGGGCTTCATAAAGACAGGAACTAAGTAGAGCGTTACTGACAGACTGGAAGGAGAGGTGCTGCAACAATATAAAATATGTGAAAATAATGTGTTTTTTAACATTAAAGTAAGAAAACCTATTCTAGTAGAGCCCAAAAAGAAACTTTAGTCTTTGAAAAAGGGCATATTTTTTTTTAATAATCTAAAATTTCAGCAATAACCTCAACTTTGAGTCCTAAACTAAAAAAGATTCATTTGTGCATCAAACAGATGGTGTTAGAATGGTTCATGCAGTTCTTCAGCTGAATTATGCGACACTAAATAAAAGGAAACAGGCGTTGCTCAAAGCAAAATGTGAAAGCTGTGGAATTTGTGCAGGAGCTTTTAGTTGCACATATTTATTATATAATTCTGTGCAATTTTAGAAGAAATCACCTCCTTAAAGCACAGTATCACACCATAGAAGAAAACAGATCTCATTTCCAAATGATCTTCTCTTAGTCCAGTAGCCCTTTAAGGAAAATGCATCTTTTAAAACAAGAATATCAAGAGGAACTTGTTTTACAGGTTGAGTTTTACACACTACATGACACATCCACACACAAGCACAAACGTTTTACTGCGTGTCATTAATTCTAGAGGCCAAATTGTTCAACTTTATTCATCACTCTCAGAAAAAAAGGTACAAAATCTGTCACTGGGGCGGTAGACTTTTGTACCTAAAGGGTGCATATTGGTTTTGAAAAGGTACCGCCCCAGTGACAGCTTTTTTCTGAGAGTGATGCATGTACAAATAACAAGTATTACACAACAACGAATCAAAGAAAGCATGTTTAGACCATGCTCTGATCACAAAACGTGTAAACCCTTTTAAAGCATGACAGATTTTAGCCGTTCTCTCCTCTATCATGACACATAGATCACCTGTTTCTCCAGAAGAGGCGAGGAGGAGCAGGGCACAGCACACCCATCCCTCTTTAATCAAGACTATTATAGTCGTTAACCGCTATGATAATGACGAAAAAAGGAGCATCTTTGAATCCTGTTCATAAAAAAACTAACAAACAATGTGAACTCACACCCTCACAGTGCACCATTGTAATAATTAAATCACGGAAACATCGTCAGACAATGAGAGGACTGAGAAAGACAAAGGAATCATCAACACCTGCTCTAGCACACACACAGAAAAAGTTCAATTTCTTATATTTGAACATAAATATAAGGGTAATTAATGAACCCACATCACCGGATCAGCTGTGTATATAATTCATTAGCACGCGCATGCCCTCTCCGGTATTTTTTTTTCTTTTCTCAGCCCTATTTTTCCACCCCGAACGCGGAAGTCGGTGTACGTGACGCACGCTATCAGATGGGGACTATGAAATAATAACAAAAACATCGCTTTATACAGTCGGGGAAAGACAAGGTAAGGAAATATTTGAGCGAATCACGTAAACCTGCATTATGGGTAAACACTGCACCGCTGTCACTGTATCACCACACACGATCGTCCTTTTATACGCCGATAAATAATTTGTGTCTTTATGTGGGGATTTGCTTATCAAGTTAGGAAATATTGGCTATCTTAAATATAAATTTTACATGTATCAATCTCATGAATTTTTTGTTCAGCACTGCGGAAGGCATAAATGAAGACTTATTGTATTAGCTCGAGTCCCTTCGTTATTCCAGTGCTTGAATACAGTGCTGAACAGGTTCTCTATTGTAATGCGTGTGGTCTCTGCATCGACAGTGTTAATAATGAACAGACCAAGAAAATGCAAAAGTATTAGTTTTAGCGAGGATGTTGCACTTCGTAGAAATGAAGCTGTCCTGAAAAAGAGGTAGAAAAATAACCGTGCATGGTGTCTGGTCTGCATGCAGCTGTCATCCTTCATATCGCTCCATCAGCGGAACTGTAAATGCTTTATTGTACGACTGAACTATTGCCAGTGAACCAAAGAGAAGACTGAGATGTAATCTCAGACTCCGGACAGAGAAAACTAGCGCCTTGTTTGCATTTGGTCTGTTGTAGTATGCATAATTATTAATATTGATCGAAGGACTCGTTTTCGAGGCAGTTCTTTTGAACAGTTCTTTTCAAAGAATCAGTTCAAAATGATTCTATTTCGTCATCACGCGACCCCTTTAACACTCAGAGTGCTAAGCAGGCACCTATTTTTTATTACTAGTCGATTTTTTTCATATTGCAAATTTCATATTGATTTTTTTATGTATGTCTTTTGCAAACATGATTCATCTTTAATTCACATAAGCATTTAACAATAATGAAATTGAGCTTAAATCACTGGTGAAACAGCTTTGTATGTTTTTACTTAAAATAGACATAAAACTTTCTAGTATGTTTCATTACCTACAGTAATTTAGCCAGACATGTAAGAAAGAGACGGTTTTCAGTTCAATTAGACTGAGGCTCCATTCGAAATCGCATAGGCTACTTCCTACAGTACTAGTTGGCGAAAAACAGTATGGCTGCGTCCGAAATCTAAACCTATACTCTCTTGAGTAGGTAGCCTACTTATTTTGAATTGCTAATTACTTCATGGTTGCTAATAAATATTTTCTATAGGCCATATACGTAGTAGGCCTATGAATGTGTGTAATAATGTAATCCGGACATACTAAATTCGCCATGTTGTCATTGTCATGTGACCTGCAGCGTCAGTTGCATCGCTTCAATTACATTCACAAATCCAATGCACACTTGAGAATCTCGGCAGAAGAAATTGGTCCGGGTCCTTTTTGCCTACTCATTTATGAGTACTGTTAATTCGGACATAGCCTACCTCTTTTGTCATACGTTTTTTCGCCTATTATATAGTAGGGAAGTATGCGATTTCGGATGCAGCCTCAGTGACAAAATAAGTATGGCCGAGACGAGTTCACAGTACTAATCGGAATAAATTAGCAAAAATTGGGCTAAAAGTACCCGGTCCTGGATGACCTACTACAGTGGTCATCCTACTATTCTTAAGTCTGCATACAATGGACACTTTACTAGCCCGTGAGGCCATTGGAGAGGATGCAAAACAACTGACGCTGTTGATCACATGATAATGAAAGTGTAGTAACTGCAGGTTAAATTCATACTACACACACTCATAGGCTATAGAACATAGCCTACTGTTTTAGCGGTCGTAAAGTAATTATTTTAAATAAGTAGGCTACCTACTCAAGTATATGATTTGGGACGCAGCCCGTGAGTTTTTCACAAGAGAACCACTCATGGACTGAATCAGTTCGATTCATGAAAAAAATGTTATAACCTTTTTGAGAACCGATTCAATTGATTGTTTAAAAAGATTCGACTCCAAAGAACGATTCATTCCAATCGGATGCCGCTGCTGCTACCCAGTGTGCCCAGTGCGCTTGGATTGCTGCAGGTCTGTTGATGTATCGGCTCAATGCAGTATGGATTATTACAGCGGTACATAAGTGCGTACTGTAAACATTTTGTTTCGCTTTTGCTAGCATTAGTAGCCTATCTTACGCATTAGTAGGTTTGAAGGGTGGCTCAGTCAGTGAGTGTGGTGTCATTCAGGGACATTTATGCGCGGCTAGACTTTCTCATTCGCAGAATGCTTGAACTGCCAGTTTCGTTGAGATGTTGACAGCCACGGTAAGCTCATATTTTTGTCTCTATATGTTTGTAAAACACTTAATAGGAGAGACCGGGGCGAGTTGTTGTTATTTTGTTTACTCTCAGAATGTTTGTTTTGAAAGTCAATTTCTGTGTAGACACGTTAGCTCAAAGTTTTGACAAGTAACAAAGCTGCCAAGTAATACAATTAGCCTATTGAACACGTTGTTGGGACATGTTGTCACACTTGGCACACTATAACCTGCTAATTATAGACTTTTCGCTAAATTAACACTAAAATAATTATAGCATGAAACGCAAAACGATTCTTGAAACAGCAAACGTAAATAATACAACATTTAAAATGCATGTTACATCTTGCCCCAATAAAATATGTCATTCCAGACTTATTAAAAAAAAAAAAAAAACAACAACAATCTTAAATAAGCACATATACTTATATAAATATAGAACTAGGTCTGGTCTAAACTCTTTGATTGAAAGAATAGTTTCTGAATTATAAATTACAGTAATAATATGTGCAGCCATTACATATTAGCATGTGGTAGTTATGAAATGCAGACATTTTTTAAAAAAAAAAAACTGTATTTGTAGGCTACCATTATTCTTGTCACAGCTTGCTGAACAGCCTGACTTTTTTATACACCTTCTTATCACTTTGAAGGCATCACTGTTCTCTTAACAGACAGACAGTATGTCACGATATAAAACAATAGATGGCTTTGTACTTGTCAATTTTACTACCTCTCCAAGTTTGCACTTTCTCATCCTGTTTGCTTGATTTTTGAAGTTGTGTGAGGTTTCAAGAACTTCATATGGAGGGGTGTGCTTCAGGATTTGTGGAGTTGGCTCCCTTACAGTGAATTTTGTAGGGAAGGAAGCCATTTCACCAATGTTGTTCATCAAGCATTATCTTTGTGCCTGTGAACTGTATCAAGATTTGGCAGTGACTTCCATGTTGTGAAATGTCATGTGTTTATGGTTTGTGCCCTTATTTCTGGTTGCGGTGTGAAGAAGCTGTAAATTAATATGTTAAAGGGGTCATATAATGGTACATGCACTTTTTCAAGTTGATTGTACTGAAATGTGTGTTGGCAGTGCCTGTAAACAACCATCATACAATGATAAAAATTTAATCCAGTGATTTTTGTTTTCATCTCCTTAAATGTTAGGAGAAGTCACACCCACATGGCGCCCCTCCCACGATTGTTGATTTACAGCAGCGTTTCAACACAGACCCGCCCTGAGCGAGCTGTCATCATAATCCCACGTTTATAATTATAATGAACAACGCGTTATGGTTATTGTGTTAGTATGCGAGTATGTAATACATCATTAGTACATCTCATTAAGTTACTCTAACGTTACCCTGCCAGTAAGTTACATACAAAGAAAGATCAAAGTGACATTATGGTAACCAACCATTCAGAAATTTCCCGTTCGAGCCTTAATTGTCGAACTTCTTTGCGGCCGTCATCTTGTTCAGGGTCTGATACGGTTGCACAGATGTGTCCTCAGAGACTCCCGCTGCCATTCTCTCTCCAAAATTTATCCTCAACTGTTGTCAAGGCAACACTCCACGTGCGTTGCCAAAACGCCCGCAGAACAGAGTGGCGGAGTGAGCAAGCTCATTATCATTTAAAGGCATATGCACTGAAACGGCGTGCTGGAAACAGAGCTGTTTTTGACCAGGTAAAATGAGTGTTTTCTTACAATAATGAGAATTTTTAATTAAAGTATATTACAAACTTTTAATTTAGACCCTAAAGAATCAAATTAACTTGTATGAAAATGGCATTATACGACCCCTTTGGGAAAGAACTTGTTTATTCTATATTGTACGATATTAAAGTACCCCTACAATAGCATGCATCAACGGTCACTTTTTCTCAAAAAACACATTTTCTCTTAATATACATTGCACATGACCTCATTTCTCAAAGATGTTTAAAAACGGTTTGTTCGACGATTCAGTCTCTCTAAACCTGCCTACTCTGGTCTGATTGGTTAGATTGCCCAGTTTGTTCCTATTGGTCCACCACTTAACCACTTTTGGTGGTTATTGGTGTCAGAAACAAAACTCACATCTTAATTTCAGCTCTGGGTGCTTTCTCAGCTTTTAAACAGTGATACTAAAGGAATGATGGTGTAAATTTTATTCAGTATCAATTCTAGTGTGAGGCTGTGAGCCTAGCCTGGATGCCAGCCCGAAACCCGCCCACAACATTTTTTGGTCGGGAAGTTCGGTCTGGACTCGATCCATTGTAATCCATAATTATGATCAGTTCAGAAATGGTCGTGCCAATCAAATTGCCAGGACGGGCTTTATGCGATGATGGACAGATGATCTGCAGTTATCAAAGAGCGCTTGGGTTAAGTTAAACGGGTTTCCCTCAAAAATGACTGCAGCTGGAGAATTGAGATGTAGGCCTATATTCTGCTATCACGTCTGTTGTAAAAGAAATTGACAGCGCATTCCTTTTATAAGATGAACAGAGAACTTCAATCCATAGAAATGTCGATCAGAAACGTGTTTGCCATCCTTCCTATGGGATTAGGCAAAAGATTTATCAGCTGGCTCCGATGTTCGCTAAGAAGATGGGACGCAATGAAAACCCTGTGGTCGTTGTTTTCCCTTTGGTTGCACTCATGGAGGACCAAGTAAAAGAATTAACACTCAGTGTGCGTGGAGTTGAGTTCTGTTGACAACTATGCTATGCTACTATTTAGCTGTCTTGCTGCATTGCTCTGATTGGTTGTAGGTGTATCCAATTGAGTGTAGAGGTTTTTTTTTCTGGTTTGGATAAGACGCGCCTCATAATCAAAGCCCTATGGAGCAGTATCAGACTCAGATTCTGACTAGAATATGTATGTAAGTAATAAGTATGACGAAGTCAGGCTGTTTTGTAGTGCTTGCAAAGTGTTGAAGTTTACACTAACGTGTATTGCACTGCTGTCTGCAATTAAAACAGACATAGCCAAATGTGGAATAACACAATTGCTACAGCATAGGCCATTAACACTATGGGATTTAATTATTGGACCACTTACGGCGTTATATATCTTGGAATGTGTTTCTGACCGAAAAATAGAGGCTGCTGTAGCTAGTTACAGTAGAAAGTAATTAGATTCTTGAAATTGGTTCGACCTCAGGAAACCATTTAATTACAAAAACACATTTGTCTAAATTGCTTCTACATTGGAAAATTCGAATAGAGTGAATGCCGGTAAAACGGGCCACCTTTGTTTTGACAGTCTGTGTATTCACGTGCATGCTTTTAAAACTTTTCACATCTGCCTTTGTGCTCAAATGACAGAGCTCCAGCATTAGCCAAGAAAGACACTTAATGGTTTATTCTAAGACTGTTGGAAATCCATTATAAAATCTAATCTAATTTAATACTAATAGATGCCAAAATATATTTTTTTTTTTTTTAGAATTCCACTTATTTGTCCTTTGTGAATTCAGTTTTTCTCCAAGTAATTAGTGGAGTTTGCTACGGGAAACATCAGTAACATATTGCTCATACAGTATGTACATTTTTAAGATGGTCAAGAACCATGTATCCACAATGACTTGTCATGATCTTCAAATGGATGTGCTGTGAGGTGGGGTTTTAAAACAGCATCATACACTTGTGATCTCAATAATATGGCCAAGACGCGCCACCAGTCAGTGGTGCTATTTAGAGATTTACCTTGTTTGACTAATCTGTACACATGCTGCCAGGATTTGCTGTCTCATGACACTTCTCCCTCAGCTTCATGGCCTGGGTTTGGAATTGCATACTAACATACTACTTACATTATCTGCAGTATATAAAATAAATACACTGCTCATTTTCTGTGTGCAATGTGCATGAAAGTATGTTCAGTACTGCGTCCCACAGTTTTCAAACTGTCTAAAGCTTGTACAAAATCAATTAAAATGCAAAATAACTGTATTTCACTTGGATTGTGACAGTTAAACTTATACCCAAAAGTAGACTGGGAGAAACCATGTTTTCCTTTGTACTTTTCATTCATTTATTCATTATTCACTACATCCACAATCGCAAAATCCCAGCAACAGAAGCATGTAAGTCTTATTCTTTAAGGAGGCAGAAGGGATTAATCCGAGATGCCTCATTCAGATCAACAGCATGCTGTTGTGGTTGTTAAAAGAAGAAAAAATACAGTCAGATGGTTGGTCAGATGCAGTTTCTCTAACATTTATTTTGCCTGAACTTAGTTAAATATTAACAAACTCTCTTTCCAACAAGGGCAAAAGGACTGTTATTATAGAATAGCAAGTGGCATTGCTCAGGCATCACTGCAGAATTTAGAGGATTAATACAGTCAGATACTATACAATTTTAAACAACGTCGGCTAGGTGACCGAAAAAAAAGTAAGTTCTTTCAGATGCTATGCAAGTTGTGTTACATTGTAGTGAACAATTACAAGACACGCACACCTTTTCTTCTGAATGAAGTGCATTGATAAATGGCGCACAATAACACAAGAAATGTGTATTAGGAATATTGATTTCATAAAGACCACATGAAAACAAATGGTAACAGTTTAAACTTTAAAAAAAGGATGTTTGGGCGGGATATATTGAAGGGGCTTGTACATTTAGTTTTTCTTTAAAGGTGCAAAACTACGCCCCCTCTGGCGACAATCAAAACTGCAACCAGAGGTGTGCACGCTCATGGATCACACACACATGCACGTTTGCACAAGCTGTTCAATAACCAAAGGAGCATCAGCCGCACACATCTTTTGTCATAATGAGGTAATAAATTTATAAATCTGCAAGTTTAAAATATATGAAAGGAAAGACATTTGAGTAAATTACACACGTATGTGTGTGTGTGGGGGGGAAACGGGGGTGGTAGAAAACTTCAGTGTTTTTTTTCCATCTATCTCCATGTTGAACTGTTTTATGTGTTTACTGTATCCATTTATGATTGTGTCATTATGGAAACACGTTCATGAAACGTGTTTACCCAAACACGAAGGGATAGGGATAGTTCAC